AAAAAAAAAAGACAGAAGACCAACGTTAATGATTTTTTCCTTACCCATCTTATTTTCATTGTAGGCGTAAAATGCATTGAGCATCGTTGGAGGAAAAGGCCATCTAAAAAGTAAAGAGACCAACTCAAACTTACGGCATAAAGTCCTATGTGTACTCGAGTCTAAAATTCATGGAGTTTATTATGCCGTGAGCTGATTAAGTTTCACAGTACTTGTACAGGCGTAATGGAATTAAGTGTACGGTCGTGAAAATGTATGGTTACATATCAATTAAACGTACTTTAGTAATTCGTCTACCGAGTTTAAAGGAACTTTACAAACAAATCGCCCTCATGCAATTTGGTATACCCTCTTTAGATCGATTGCAGAAATTATGATAAAGGGAACTGAATTCAAGCGGAAGGACACTAACATTAGAAGAATTCCTAAAATGTCTTACTCAGACTTGTCCACGGCTGTTCCAGCTTTAGCAAGTCTGTCGATATTCTGACGCTTTGTAACTGAAACATCATTGTTGAAATATGTTTTTGCGTCTATTGTTACCTAAAAAGAAACGATCAAGAAACCGATTATAGAGTAATAGAACACACACCGTATTTAGGTTTCATCAGTTTCCTGACATTGAAACGCCTATTTTTATGTGAAATTCGTAGAATTTTCAATGTTCTTGTATTTTTAGGATTTTCTTTTTTTTTAATTTTTTGGTCTGGTTCATGTGGAAAAGTCAATAACCGTACCCAGGCCTATTTTAAGTATGATACAAGGAGACAAATATTAGAAATATTGCAGAGGTAATTTGGACTTCAAGAAATTGAAACATTTTTCAGTTCTAATGAAATATCAAAACCAGCACTATGGCTTGTTTTTTCTTAAAGAAGAAGTAAAAAGGTTGGGTGAAGAGGTTGTATCAAGAACATGCATTAACTTTGCAAAGTACTTTTCTTCCTATCTTGAGCCCAATTATGAGAGCAGGCTTAGGCCTGTAGCCGCAGTCGAACTTCGAAGGAGAGGCTAATCAAGGAACGTTGAGGGGCGGGGAACTCCACACCATCAGTTGCCTTCCGTCGCTGCAACATTACAGTAGCTAAAAACGTCCCATATTCCTTAAATTAAAACATACCTCTTTATATCTTTGGGTCATGTATTCAACGTTCATTATGTAATCAGGATATCCTACGTTTTCGATGAGGGCCTCCGCCTACGAGCAAGCCATGCATCCGTGAATATTCAATTGGTTGAGTATTCAAAATATTCAACCAATCAACCGTTCTAATTATTTGAAGATATCTTGTGAAGAAAGACTTTCAATTTAAGATCAAGAAGAACACTAATACGACAACGGAAAAGTAGTTAACAGTCGCAAACAGTTAAAAATCGAATGGAAGCACATAATCGGCACCAAATATCTACTTACGAATTTAAGTCGTGATAAGGATACATACGGTGGCTTTGGTCGGGAGGTTTGCCAATAGTTCACAAGACTATGTCGTATCGCGTAAAGAGAGGGGCGTGTCGCACTGAGCCGGTAGAGCCGTTTAACTCGCTTAACTATTGTATTTGCATTTTCCCTGGGCGATAACTTCCAAATCTGTTTCTATAGTTTACGAGACCACCAGATCAAAAATATCATAGGTCAAGTATAAGTATATTGTATCTAGTATCGTTTCTAAGCAGTAACTTGCATTAGACTCACTTCACAAAAATGGAACGGAAAGCTACCTAGCTTTTTAGCTTATTGAAAGGACCTCACCTTCCCTACGGCTACCTTCTGAGTTTTTCCATCCATCCAGTCTTGATTTCCAATGTTGGAGATGAATGCCGCACGGATATCTCCAATGATGTCCTTTGCCTGAGGAAATTATTTAACGATAAGAGACGGAGAGACTCGGATTATTACTCTCGGCTGTAGTTTTCTTTGACTGGCCTTTTTCACTCACCAGTTTCTTGCTGTCACCAAAGAACTTTTGATCAAGGAAGACTTTCGAAAGTGGTATTCCAAATTTCTGTGAAGTTGCCATGAGACAGAGCTGATGCTGGTCCGAATCACTCCAGTAATTGAAAGCTTGCAGGTAATAATATTTGAACAGCTCCACAAAATCACTGCTGAGTTGTAAATACTTTAACTTGACCACTCTCCACATCATGTAGTTAGCAATAGTTCTAGACAAAGTAAAATTCGAACAAGTGTAAAAAATCAATGGAAACGGGTGAGCTTAATCCTTGAAATATCTAGGAAAAAAATTTTGACTGAAATAAAGCACAACGATTTTGATCGAGGAGGCGAAAGTCACAGTACGAGGGATCCTTAACACCCGTTTATAGAGCAAAAAAATGGTAAATAAACATTGGCGTAAGGTCTTGTAAATCAGTTTTGAAAAACTCAGTTCTGTTCTGGCAGATTCGTTAAAAATTTCTTGGAAGAATCGTAGGTTTTGTGGTACCAAACTTGGAACAATGGTGGTGCTTTTCTGGAGAGCGAGGATCGATCCTCTTGTGTTGGATACGCGTGACATTACAGATTCAAGTGTTGTCGAAGCTGTTAGAAACATAGAGGAAATCGGGAAAACCAAATTTGACGAGTTTGTGACTGAGAGGCTTGAGCAACGAAAGTGTCACTATTTGATGTAATTAAGACAAACAATTTAGCATTGTTCATCAGTCCCTCTCAGTGCACTGGACGGTGTCAAAGTGTTCGTGCGGAGCTGCCTTGCTCTGCGCTCTGTCATTGTGGGGGACAATGTGAAAGGCCTTAATCTGTAGTCAGACTCAATAGTATATTGAATACTAAGATATTATATACGCTGCTAGATCCGATACTGTACGGCTTTGAAATTTTGTTACACGTTCTTTTCTTTATAGCTTCATAATGAAGCTGTTCAGTAGAATATTCTGTATTAGCCTTGTTTCCATGCTCTAATTGGAAGTATGGCACAGATCTCGATGGGCTTCATACTCAACGTTTTTCATCATGTAATAAACCATCCTTGTGCTTTACCACAAAAACCACATTATTTCACCATTCTACCTGACTATTGGGAGTAACTTAAATGTATTGTGCTGTATACCAGGAATGGCACTTATTATATTATGGATAAGCTTCACGTCCAAAGAAGAATACATTTTGTATTGTAAGCACCACGCAGACAGTTGGCCAACGAGTTGGCCACCAACATTGCTTGTATATATTAGGATGGCCGGAAAGTGTTCATGCACTGCGAAATATCACGGGAGATCGTTGAAAAGCGTCGGGAAACTGGTGGGCGCCTTTTTTTCTTTTTGGACGACCGAAAGGGAGAAGAGCGGGTAATTCGTTTTCTTTTAATAGACCCATTGAAGAAAAAGCAGACGTGCAACAAATATCAGTGTGCCAAATGGGTATTTATTGCAGTTACGATAACGCCGGACATCTCACCTTTTTGGTGTAATGCTCAGGAGTTTGACCAGCCTTTTCAAATATTCCAAAGAATACACAACGGCTTTGGTTTGGCTGGTAACATGAAATGTGTTATCCTCCATCGCTACTTGCACATATTTCGTCCAGTTGAACTGGGGAAAGTAAAAGAATCTATTGGAGATGATGGTGGTATACAATGTAATGCGAAATAACACCTTACATGAATAAGCTGTGATACTCACAAAATCACCGGTATACTCCTGTATTTCTAATAATGTGAGCTTCTTGTAAGCTTCTTCAAAGGATGGTCGTCTAAATCTTGAGGTAGATATCTAAGCGACGAAAAACAAAATTGCAGGCAACCTGACCAACTTCTTACTTTTACTACATAACTAAAGAAGTTTCCAAGTTTACAAGTCCTTTTCCTTTGGGTGTGTATGTTTGTGTAATTAGAGCGCTCTTCTACTATGTAAGTAAAATACATTTGTATAGTATTGAAACTAATCAAATTGTTTCGTATTAACAATAACTTTGTGAGAAGTAGTATCACATCTTGATAGTGTATTTAGTACTTAGAAGCAAAGTTTCGTGGTAATGATAATGACGATGAAGGAAGATCTTGATAATCATAACATTATTGGCACAGTGTCCATTAATTTAAGTAAGGCTTTTGACTGTTTACCACATGACTTAATTCTGGAAAAACTTAAATTCTATGGCTTAGGTGATCAAGCGCTATCTTTAATGCGAAGCTATCTCTCTTCTCGCCATCAAAGAGTGAAGCTCGGCACCGCCTTCTCCACGTGGGAAGGGGTGTTAAAAGGAGTCCCTTAAGGCTCTGTCTTGAGACCTACATTGTTTAATATTTTTATAAATGATTTGGCGTATGCAGTAACACGATGCAGGACTATTAATTATGCGGATGATACAAATATCCATTGTTCCAATAAAAGTGTACGTGCCGTTGAAGACAACCTAAATAGTGATCTTGAGAACGCAACTAGATGGTTTATTCAAAATGGCATGAGACCAAATCCGGAAAAGTACCAGGCTGTGGTCCTTGGCAAAACAGAAGATAAGCTACTCCTTAAATCGGGTAAAATTGATATCAGAACCGCAGAGAAGACTAACCTCTTGGGGGTTGTACTCGATAGTAAGCTTAAATTTGACGATCAAGTTTCGAGTATTTGCCGCAAAGTGAGTGTTCAAATAAACGCGCTTGATAGACTGAAAAATATTTTACCACTTAAAACCAAGGAATCGTTATATCGTTCGTTCACACTACCGAATTTTCATTACTGCAACCAAGTTTGGCACCATTGCAGAAAAAGAAACACTGCAAAAATCGAAAAAGTCAATGAAAGAGCGTTGAGATATATCTATAATGATAAACATGCATCTTATCCGCATCTCTTGGAAAGGATAAGACTACCCTCCATGGAATCTCGAAGAATTCAAGACATGTTACTGACAATACATAACAGCATATCGAACAAAGCACCACGGGCAGTTGGGAATCTTATTAACTTACGCTCGCTTAAGTACAATCTCAGACGCCAAGAATATGTTTTAAAGTTAACACTACCAAATATGGACTCGAGTCATGGAGATGTTTTGCAGCCAAGAAAAGAAATGAACTTTCAAATGACATTAGAATAAAAGCGGGCACCAAAGAAATAGTAAACAGAATTAGATCGTTAAATTTCGGGGATTAGTAGATTTGTAACGTTAGTTTTAATAGTATTTTGATTGCGACGGTAATATTGTAATAACAGTTTTAAATAGCTTTTAATCAGTATTTAATTTGTGATTTTACCCGCTGTGATATTAGCGTTGTTAGTTGTTAGGTTTTCATTTGGTATTAGGTGGAATACCTGTAAACTAGCTCTTAAGCTAAGCGTATTTCCACGTTAAATAAAGTATGTATGTATGTATCTATGTATGTGCGTATGTATGATGGTGCTGCTGCTGATTTTACGACAATATTATTGCCTGTGAATATGCCCAATGTCGAAGAACAGTTCCACAAAAATAAAACAAATTCACAATCTATGTGTTCATTCTCTTGAGGTAAGACTTGAGAACTGATCTCTTCGTCATCCGCTGTTCAAATTTAGTTTTTAAAAGGTAGGGTTTTCAAATATTTTGCTTCTAGGAGATGTCAGTGAGTTCGCAAAGTAAAACTCAACACAGAAATAATTTTGGGCCTTTACCTGAGGCTAAGATTAGGTATGACTTAACGACACCGACGAAACCAACTGCCCGAAATTGTAGAGAAAACGTCGGTCACACCAAACTTCGATACCACCTACCACAGTTTACTCTCAAAGTTATGCTGTTCAACTACAGCAACTACCTTTACCAGATAAAGCGACTGAAGTTAAGCTGAACTACCTTAAACTGCACTTCGTCACCTAAAAAAATCAAACCGACTAAGTAGATATGTGATATATCTGTTATGCTTAGATTTTCTATTTCCATGACAATAATACTAAAAGGATGATCTCTCTTTTATACCTTATGTCGAGCCGACAAAAAAAACACTAAACAGCCTGCACCTGATTTTGTTGGGATAGGAACGCGGGGAACTTAGGGCTAACTTTAGTGGACGAATGGTATTTTCAAAGTCATGGAAATGTTAAGCATATTAAAAAAAAAGGGAGCAAAGAAAAACCCACTCCTAACCTAGCGTTACAGTAACTAACCTTTGCCAGCTCTTTCTCGAACTCGAATGTTTTAAGCAGATCATCTTTTGAATCTTCCCCAGCTCCAAGTTTGATGGTCAAGTTTCTCATCAAATCTCTATATGCATTACGAACCTAAAGAATGTAAGAATACAAAGCTTGAGAAAAGGAAACGGAACTCGACGTTTTCAGTTACATAAAAGGAGGGCGGTCACTTTAACTTTGCCTAATAAACATCTGTTATTCGCCGGCTGAAAGGTTCGTATGGTGGAAAATTGTGATTGTAGTATTGAAAACGCAGTTTCGGGCAATATTTTCAAGGTCAAGGTCACGGTTTTTTTTAGTATGCGGTCCAACCCTAAGCGATTAAAGGAAATTAATGTTTTCCGTCTCTTCAATCACTTTAGTTGCCGGACAGTTGGCTCTACATGAGTTTTGAGAACGCAAATATCAATGTTTCATTGAACGGGTTACACTTAAGATGCTGCCTAAGACACTGTTCGTAATTTTCCAGTCCTTCACAGAAAGTAACCCAGAGAGTTAAAAGCTATGACGTAAGATATCTATTTACATTTCAATTAATCCTTGTTTCTTTCCGTTCTTAAATTTCCAAATTTCTCTGGGAAGCACAATTTTCTAGAACTTGATTGATGAACTAGATACGAGCGATGACAAAAGTTGAAAATGAATATGTCGTAAAACACATACTTGGTGTTCGGTATTGCTGAATTGCTCGAGTTCGTTGCAATTTGCGAGTAGTCTTACCAATTAGTTGTAGACAACACAGTCTTATTCAGTGACAGGATTAGAACAAAAAACTTGCCTACAATCTATTTTAACAGAGGAAAAGGAAAGCACGTTATTGTCGGTCTAAGACGGTCCGTTATGGGAAAAACTGTGCTCTCTCTACTCTGCTCAGGTAAATTTTATCTCAATATGGACCTCCGCTCGGTGAAGAACATACATTACCGAAATAGCAATGATCATCTTATTTTTTTAGAAAATTCAGATTAAAGCAAAGTTGAGAACTGTGAATATTTAACTGAACGGGACAAGGGTAAGTACAAACATCCAAACTAAAGCTTAAATCGAACAACTCTGATCGAAATTTTCATGACACAGTGTTTGTTCCTACTCGCTGGCTCTGTGAGTCATTCGTGAGAAGTTCTCTTCGTGATAGTGAGGTGTAGGATTCTCCAAACTAAAAGAGTAAAGGTGAGATTATCAGTAAATTATTTCATGGAAATGTAGCCAAGGGTTTTGATTAGCTAAGCTCCAGGTTGCTCGAGTGCTCTTATCGGTCAAAGTTTCAATATTATTCGAGGTTCAGCTATTCGGGGGGGGGGGAGGAGAAGGGGGGAAACCTTTTTGGTCAGAACCCAATAATTCTTGGGGCCCACCCTCTTGCAATTCTAATAACGT